TCCATGTCAGGGTGTAAATGATGTCCTACTGCTCAGTCATTATGAAAGGGGAAAAAAAAGGGTTCACAGTCATTTCCAGATGCTGAGATTCTGATTCAGAGTATATTGGCTTCTTCCCCAGTGGCCTGCTGTGAGAGATTCTGCAGTACAGTGGTTTGTACAAGAGAATTATCAGTTGATGCTTAGTGCACGTTAAATATTTTCTAACATTCTCAATGCATATCAGTCCCCCCACACTCTAAAATATTCTCCCCAGATCATTTCATTACGACTGAAGTACATCAAGCAAGGAACTAATAAAACTCATATTTAGTTGTGAAGCAAGTCCTTGTTAGATAGAACTTTGAGCATAAATACATATCAAGCCAGAATATATGCCTTTCAGATAGGCAGCTTTTTTATTTCATAAAAAGGATTCTGTTTTCATGAATGGTGTTCCTTTCAGAAAATTAAAATTAGTTCACAAATCACTGTTGTTCTATTTAATGATAAGATGAATACACACTGCTTTGAAAGTGTTTTATCTGCAGTGATTTTTGTTCTTTCATTCATGGTTCCCTTAAATTTGCAATTCATTAAAAATAAGCTTTTAATTCTTCCCATGTACTGCAATCAGTTAGAAAAAACAAGTGGCTCCATTTATTGCTCTGACAGGCAAAGGATTTTACCACGATTTGGCATGTTAATATCTTTTACTAGGGACATGACACAGCTGAACACCAGAAGAGCTATATAAAATCTTCATCTAAGCATATACTAGCATGTCTAGGATATATTCTAGAAGTAAAAATGATGTAAGATTGTTACAAGCCCTATAATGGCCCAAAAAGCAACACAGCAAGAAGTCAGTGTCTCTAACTGACAGGAGGACAGAAAGAATGAATGGCCAACGCCCAAACCGCGTGCTCTCCTGCCACCCGAGTTCCACCACTTGTCCCTTCTCCTCAGAACAAAGCTCCCGCCTGTTCTTGAGAGGACATGCACATATTGGGAGGGAAGAAGAGGTGACATTTATTATTTATGCATCTATAATTCTAATTCAAGATACTAATTAATAAGTTAGCTCTCTACAACTTCCCGTTACTCACCCTGAAATACCTTAACTCTGTTGCCTTTAATCTGTTTAATAACATTTGAAGTTAAACCCCATTAATCTGAATATCTTCCTCAATCCCCAACTAGACATTCATGTTTTAACATCACGAAAAAGAAAATAGCATATACTCCTACAGCAAGTATAAAATGCAGTTTTCCATTTAAAAAATCTTCAACTAGAGGCACAAACACTGAATTAAAACAAGAAGTGAAAGCCAGATTTGTCATATTTGTAATTACTTCTCTAAACTGTTGAATCATATTCCATAGTTCTGCATGAACCTGGGCTAATTATAAAACAAACCTCTCACATTTAAAGTTAAATTATTAACAATTTGATCTTCAAGTAAAGTATACCTCTAGCCATGGATAGGATCATTAAAAAGTTGTCTCAATCACACAAGGTACTTAATATAGCACAAAATTCACAGAAATAATATTTTGATTTCTTTCTTTTTTTCTTAACTGTATTATATTCTATTTTCTGTTATAGTATAGCTCTAATCCTGATCTTGAAATCAACTGCTTCTGGGGGCCAACCAAACAGGTCAGCTTCACGATGCCAAAGACATTAGAGACTGCTGTGAGAATTCCAAAAAGTTAGGCTACTAAATACTTATTGAAAATCCCAGTATAAGGCAGCAAACTAAAATCCCACCATGATAGCAAGACAGCAACTACAAAAATCCCTTCAGAATCCCACAGAAGCATTTCCACACAGCTTTCTCCAAAAGTCCAAAGTGTTCACTACAAACACACTTGAGTCTTACAAGATGCAGAACTGTCTCCCAGCCAGTAGCAACCATAGAGGCAAGGCTGAACTGTGTTTACTAACTGAATGCAAAGTTCCACTGCAATGATGCTGGTCACAGAGCCAGTTTTTGGATGTAGAAAAAGAGATTAATTATAATAATAATAATACACTTCTTACTTTTCACACCTATGAAACTATAAAATTATTGAAATACTGAATTTAATTGAAATCAGTATTTCAAATGCATATTAAAAAATACCAGTAAAGACTGGGGAAAAAAACGCCCTAAACTGAAGAAGTGAATCTACTTTGCTATTGCAGGTAAATTTACGTAATCTGAGGATAGTATAAAAATTCTCACATGGAGAAAAAGACATCTACTGACAGACAGGCCTCAAAAGATTTGAATGGATTTTGAAGTGTCACAATGGCTACAACCTGAAACCATAAGGAGTCAAACCAGCATCATTTTGTACAATTGAGAGACAAATCACCAGTACAGTCTATTAGAGATGTAGTGGAACTTCTTGAGTTGAATTTTTGAAGTCACGATTGTATACTGTCATAAAAGACATGTTTGCAGTTAAAAAGAAGGTATGAAGTTGATACTGGCATTATTTACTGTCCCTCTTCTATTATGCTTTAAATCAAACCAGATGATCATGCTACAGCTTACTTATTAATTGTCAATGAAAGATGGCAGTCAGTCTATACCTACATCATCTGGATTTCTTTTATTATTTTCATCAAACATTAAGACCACAAATGGAAAAAATAAACCACCCTTAAGCAGTAAGTCACATTGATGTAATTACAGATCCAATTCACATGAATATCTGCACAGATCTAAATAAAGTGATGTAAAACTGAATGTGTTTGTTAGCAAATTGTTTCATTTAGTTGCCTACAGTCTAACTTTAAATATGAACAATTAAGGTAACATTAACCCACTTTCCTCAGTTTGTAAATAACAGAAGTGTATTAAAATGACAGTTTCATACATATTAAGTTAGCAGAATGCAGTCAAACCTACAACGATTTAATTTTAGCAGTTTTATTTCAAAGCTTTTTAATCAATGGTGTTTATTTACCTGAAGGTATTACTTCTGGAATACACTGCATATTTTTAACAGGTTGTGGACTAAAAACATACCACTCTTCCTGTCTTTGTATTTAATTCCTGAAGTAGTTTTAAGTTATTTTTTAGCATTCAAGAGTTATATCAAATAGTATGCACTGAGATGAATAATTGTATGCACTAAATAAATTAAAAAAAAATAAATAAAAGCACTAATGAAGTGAAATAACAAATTAGCTGCTCAGAATTATGTCAAGAAAAAGATCCTGGACAAAATCGTAAGTTGAGCTTCTATTCACCTTTTTGTCCTTCACAGTAATAAAACCTTGCCTTATTTACTGGAAGACGTTAAACCACCTAAAATTAGGTAATTTATTTCATAGCATTTACTTCTATATTACAAATATTAATCCATGTTATTATTATGACTATTATAAATGGTATTTTTATTGTAATTGATCTCCTACCTTAGTATGACACCAAGCAATACTCCTTTCATATTCTCTGAAGAAAGTCTCATCCCAATTACCAGGAAACAGCTTTGTTTATTAGCAGGAACAGGAAAGAGAAACTTCCTTTAATTATGGTATGATTCCTGCATGCTAAAACTCCCTACCAGGAGATGATTTATGTTCAGACACGTCTCATTTTCTGAGACACTCAAGCAGATAGAGATGTTCAGCCTAAAATTCTTTACTTCCTAATCTCAGTATGCATTGCTAACAACAATTCTTCAACCACCTGACAGAAAGACAAGAAATACATACTGAAGACTAAGATGTCATTTCCCCCACCTTAACATCTATTCTTCAGTCTAAAAAAAATACAGGAGTGCAGAAAATTTAAAAATATCCAATGATAAGCAGAAATAAATCTGATCACTTGACACAACTGGAGATGACTTTCTAAAAAAGAAAAACACTATTTATCAGGTCATCTATTAATTATGAAAACATAAATCCTTAGGCAGAATCGGTTCATTTCTTACAGTCTTATCTATTTTGTCAAGCCACCAAATTCACTGCAATGATAAAAGCTGTCAGACATCTACAGTTCAGGATGCCTATTTTAATTACGAGGAACTGGTAATCTAGCTGTGACATCAGTGTATGTGCACTGAAGCAAGGCTGCCCAGGAAACTTCCTACAATTCATTTTCAAAAATTTCGTAGGATCCCGGTATTTTTCGTAATACCAAAAAAAAAAAAAGCACTGGTACTTTTTTTCTTTTAACTGTTTTGCATTGTCAGATGATGACTTTCTTTAAAAAATTCAGATGATAAACCACAGAATAGAAAAGGTAAACATTACCTACTTTTCTCTTTTTTATCACCAAATCACTTGAGTGATGCAAATAATTTTTATAAATACAATAAATACATTGGTGGCAAAACAACAAATGGCAACACATTTACTCAAAACAACTGAAAAATCATGTCTATAACCCATAAAGCAGAGCTGTCAAGCTTAACAAGAAAACACGGTTGCAGAAGGTGCATTTCAAAACATTGGTTTCATTAGGAACAGAGTGGGGCTTACTTGACAGGATTAACCCTACAGACATGATGCCAAGGCAAAGGGCAATTACAAGGCAGTTCTGTAAGATTTTCTCATGTGAATGGATCTCAGGAAAATAATACCTTGGTGTGTCATTTTTGAGCATTTTGTCTATTGTTTGTTTTTTAATAGCAAAACTGATATGATTACTAGGCAACCTCTTAACCCTGCTAATAAGACAAGGCGAAAGAGAATACGTAAGTAACAAGAAAATTTTTCATTTAGTCATGATTTGTCTCCCTTAAGTTCATTTTTTGCAGTCTTGCACGAAACTTAGAATAAATCCATACAGAGAAGATACTAAACATCTTCTTGTGAATATCTGTCACTGCATCCATTCAGATGGTAAATACCACTAAAATTTATTATGTTTTCTTACACTCAGCACGTTCTGTGAACTTTTCTCTGCTCTAGAATAAAAGCATGGAAGAAGAGACTTAAAACTTCAAGTGTTGTAAATACTTATCCAGATGATCAGAACATTGAGATCACCAATGAAGACATGCAAAAAGGATATGCTCATCTTTTCTACAAACTTGTCGTGTTCATCTTGTGTTTTAGGGAAATTCTCAATGTCATTCTCCAGGCGTTGGATCTGATGGTTCATGGAATCAAGGTTGCTCTTCAGAGTCTGGGCTGAAACTAAGAAAAAAAATGTCAATGAGTAAAAAGCTTCCAGATTCTAGAAAGCTTATTAGAAGGGGAAAAAACAATGTCAGTATAAATAGTCTTAACGAGAGTGATTCCATTAAGTAGACTCACATTTTTCTGAATTACTGCTCATAAAAATTCTACTCTTCATAAAAATTAAGTGAAAATGTCTAATGCAGTATACAAAAATCATATTTAATGTTGAAATGTCACCACTTAATTCTACCAGTAGTTCAAATGATTCAATTTCTATTTAAATTTATTGGCAAAAATTCTAATATTTCATTCTTTTAAAACTAATTCAAAGATTAAAAAGTCACTAAGGTTCAAAGAGATTGTACCTTATTAATGCATGCATTTGGTTGAATGAATGATCTTAATGCACGTACTCTCTTAGAGAAATGATTCAAGGAACAGACAAGGGAGAAAAGATCAAATATTTTTCTTTTATTGAAATTAAACTGATTTCTAGAATCCAACATCTGTGAAACTCTCTGTTAACATCAAAGGTAGGTTTGAATAATAAATGCTACTGATAATTAAAAAACCCCATAACGTTGAGTTTTATGACATAATCCATAAAGTCCACTTATCATTCTCAATTTCATTATAAACAGCAGTTTGACAAGCACTTTCTCTCAATTTTAAGATACATTTTAGAACCAAATTCTATCTTCTGTCCTTTGTCTCCTCTTACATAGTTTACAAATCTGTGCTTTCAAGAAAGCAGACAATCTAAACACCATCCTTCCCCAAAGGGCACTGAAACATTTGCACTGTTTCATGTCCTTCTTTCAGAGTACAGACTATTTCAAGTATACTCTGTTTCAGAGGAGATTTATACCCTACAAACTACTTCATCTTTAGCGACAGTGCATATAACCCTGGTTCGGTCTTAAAAAAGACAGTGCCATGAACAACTTCTGATAGGTGGAATCAGAGGCGAGAACATCCACCACATTTTCTAGTCTTCAGTAAGTGGCCAAGTCAACGCTCTTTATTCACTGCAGCAGCTGCTCTACAAAGCTAACGCTGAAGATGTGCACCCCAGCTAACCCAAGGACTCTTTGCGTAGTCAAGAAAAACACAAGAATTGGGGTTTTTAAAGGGTTTTCTGATTTTGGGTTTTGTTGGGTTTTGTTTTGTTTTGGGTTTTCTTTGCAGGAAGCCATTTATCCAAAGTTGCATACAGTTTTTCTCTGAATAAAAAAATATTTTCCTGTTTCCTTGTAATTTAAAAAATTGTGCTGTGTCTTATGTGACATTAAGCAGTAGCAGGTATTTGGTTCACAACAGCTTGAAAACAGGATTTAGAAAATAAAAATCCTGTAAATAAGGAAGCTGCTTCCAGAACAGAATTAATACTATCTCCTTTGTACGTAATGATTCACGTCAGCTATAAGACCACCAATTTAACTTTTCTCAAGCATGTTCAAATACATAAGCCACCAATCCAGCTGTTGTTAATCACAGATATAATCTTGATTTTATTTTCAATTTTATCTATTTTATACTGGTACCAGAAGAACTACTAATCGTGTATTCTTAAAATTATAGTGAAACAACTTCTAACATTAACTGAAGCGGGGTGTGTGTGTGTGTGTGTGGTTGGGGACACACCAGTTAATCTTGAAATCAACCACTAAGGCAGTCTGAATACTAAACATTATCAAAGCTTTTAGGTTATGGCTGCATTAGTTGAATCATTTTATATTATTGTCAGAAAAGGAGCACACGTTTTTGCTTGAAATGAAAAATCTGAATCACTATAATATTTTTATAGGCTCTTATGTAGTTGGATAGGAAGACAAACAACACTGAAGTAAAAAGCTAGAGCTGAAAAATAAATCAGGAGCATGCAAATGGTAATTCTGCTGGTAAAAATAGCTGCTGGTAAGTAAATAGGCAACATAACAAAGTTTAACTGTTTTCAGCAATTTAAAAATATTTGAATGCATGACTGCTTAGGCAGAGTAGTAGTTTATTTTTGTCTGAAATTATAAGTGCAAAGAAATTCAGCAAGCAATGAAAAATAAGAAATCTTAGCCTCTGTGATTGAAATGGAAGAAAAGCATTTTCAGTAACTCTGTTTTATAAAACTAAATTCAGAAAACAATTCAGATTAGGTGCACACTGACTTTGAAAGTATGAAGGAACTCGAACCAAACAAGTTTGCCGCATTCAAAACCTGTGCTTCTCATAACTTCAATACGCACACTAAATTATCAAAAAGCATTGCAGAATATTCATTTATTCACTTTTTTTTTTGCCAAGAGCAGGCAAATATACATGAGTTTCCGTTCAAAGAATTTACGAAGCTGTTGTTCTGCAATAAAACGTTAGAAAGACCATGTAACAGGAAACATACATGTAGAGACTAGAATAAAATATCTGCATTTCCTCCCATAAAACTGTTTTATTAGAGATTTACTGCTTCAGTAATGTGAAGAGGAGGCAACATGAATACCTTTTACTCTCTCAGAGAAAATCATGTGACTTGCTTAAAAGTCTTTCAAGGTTTTTATTTATGAAAGCATAAACTATACTTGGAGCAAAATGCTATTTCTTTGAAACCATTCTATAAATGCACACACTAAAAAGACTCTCTATCACTACAGTCCTTAAAGCTGGTGAGTGCAAGAAAAGGCCTATTCACCTTCCATTTACCCATAATTCCACATGAAAATTAGACATCCTAATAGAACTAGTCTAAAATCTACATGAAAGGTAGTATTTGGTCTTCAGTGGCAGACAAGCACTGCTCACGAACCATTACTGGGAAAGCCTCTCCGTAGCAGTAATTACAACACTGTTCCGTTTAATGTTGCAGCTGGAGAAAGCAACCAACTAAATTCAGTGCACCAATATCTGATTACAAGGTAGGAACAATGAGTCAAATACTAAAAAACAGCGAAAAGAAGAAAAAAAGCCACGAGCAAAAAAAAAAAAAAAAAAAATGCAAAAAAGCTTCACAGATACATTTATAGAATTAAGATCCACATCCATAGTGCAAAGTTCAGCATTTAAGAAACGGGCAAGTTTAAGATGTCAAGTCAAATTTGCTGACACAGGGAATAGTGGGGACAGATAGCAGAAACCAGTATAGAAAGGATTAGATATACACATACAAGCAGGCCCATAAACAAGTATGAAAAGGAACAGGCTGGGATGGAGCATGCATATGTCTCTGAGAACATCTGCTGTGGGGGAAGCAGTGCAGGAACCGCAACGTTCTCCCTAAACAGCACATCCTGCTGCCAGCACCAGACAGCATCAGGTTGTGTGGACAACAGGGCACGAAGTACATCCTTATGTTTAAGTCAAAAACACATCAACCCCAAAACTTATGTATGGACCCATCTTCAAGGCCAAAGGGAGTAAAAAAGGGAGCAAGATTTCTCGGTCTGTACCAAGCTGTAACAGAGCGGCTTCATATTTAGCTGTAAGGAAAATCTGGCTTGCAGAGAGCTGCTGCAACTCTAAGACAGAAATAAATACGGCATCTTCAACGTGTGAGCCCCAAACCACGATAATAAAAGTATTTAGGAGAACTAAAAAATATCCAATACCAGAGATTAAACATGTACGTTTAAACTATCTAACGCATTATCACATAGAATTACTATTAGCATATAGGATTAATATAAACAAGGGGAATGTGAAGTTATGCATATTAATATGTTGTCACTCTTCTCCATGTCAGTGAAAGCCTAACATAAGCACTTAGATTTATAACTATTCTCTCTACACAAATACTGAATGAAGCTCAGTTAATCATAGATCATTAAATCTATGAGTGATTAGCAGATTATTGTGTATATTACTATTTATTTATAATAGAACTCCACAATCACTACAGATAGGGCACAATGTCATTTTGACATGAAACGTGACAATTGTCTGCTTCACTTTACTGTTTTCTCTACATTAATTCCCACTCTGGAGGAAAAAAAAAAAATCCCATCCACTTATTTGGGAGAAAGCAGTTGCCCAGACCGCACGCTAAGGAAGGCTTAGGGAACGTCTGGCAGACCACTTTAGTCCTGGAAAAACGCTACAAGCAGTTAATCTCATGTTAATGTCAAACTCAGGCTAGTCCCCACAGTCTAGCTAAGCATTTTAGAGTTACAGTAATACAGTAATAGTACCAAAGAACAGACTAATCCTTTCCAAAATAAGACTGGAACAGACAAAGAGTCCTCCCCTACAACAAGGGGTGAAATGATACATTTTGATTAGGTGCAGTGTCTCCTGCATGATAAATTCAAAGGGTTTCTGAGCATGATGCAAAACAGGGCCAGCCATGTCCACATTTAGTAAAAGCTCTAAAGTGAGAGCCAAAGATATACATGACTTCAGTAAGCAAAGACAGGCCTATATGAAGCAAAGATTTGTAAGTCTAGACAGTATTTGTGCCATAACTACATTCTGAGCATACTAATGATTATTTATTTCTTATTGCCGGAGGGCAGATGGAAGTAGTCTTTCACAGAAGCCTGAAAACCAGTTTGAGGGGAAATGGGTGTGCGAGTAAATAATCTCAAGAATTACAAGCACTGATTACTCAATTCATACCACTAAGTAAATTTATACTTATTAAGAAAATAAATGTTCTGTTGGAGTTAGGTGAAGAGGGCTTCTGCAGCCTATGTGAGAATTCCAAGTACCACAGTATGTGTGCGTGCACATGTGTGTATCTCTGAGCATGCCTGTGTATATCTGCATCTGTTGCAATAAGTACGTCTGGCACGTATACATGCCTATGTGTATGTTTACACATGTATTTTCTGTGTGATATAGGTGTACCACGTACACAAACACACACATTTACACATAGCTATCTGTGACATACACCACAATATACCTGTGTCAAACAAAAGAACCCATACTTGAAGCTTCATGACTGAACAGCTTCCAGACTTGAAAGCAGTACAGCTCCCTTAATATTTTATTAACATGTCCCTGTTCATACTAGGAATCCTTCCCAACAC